TTTCGCCAGACTTTATGCCCCCTCAGGGAACACGTTCAGAGAGAGAGAGAGATACAGAATAAACTTTTATTATTAACAAATGCACACTGAGCCTTCTTTGGGTGGGGCCCTCAGTCCAGGGCTCCATTGCCTTGCGCGACCCTGCGAGCCCGCTGGACCAGCTGCTGCTGTTCCTGCCGGCGTAAGCTGAGCAGTGCAGACTCCCAAGAAGAAGGGGTGGGGTTGGGAATGGGAGGAATGCCCTGTGGGGCAGAGCGTTCCCACGTGGAGTAGTATACACCGTCGGTATGGATCCACAGAAGGGGCAGTAGGAGGGGGAGAGAGTCGGATGAAAGCGATTTAGCATATAAAGGCAAGGAAATGAATTGGTTTGTAGTTACCGCCAAGCGACAGAATCTGTTCTGTTAAGTGAAGGATGAGGTGGAGATACGTATAACGGCTCTGTCGGTAGTACTCCAGCGTAGCGTTGTAGTTTAGTGGTCCTGTCGATGCGTCGTCTGGATTGGACAGCTCTTCCAATGGAGCCCGGCCGGTCAGCTCTCTGGCAACCGCATGAACGCGTTCATTACCATGGAGAGAGGCGTATCAAGGAGTCCAGACGATACGCACAGGACGTAATGCGGACGGTGAGACAGAAGAGAGGATATTGTGTAATGCGGACGATGAGACAGAAGAGAGGATATTGTGTGTATGTGCAGCCACAAGTCCTTGAGCGAAAACACGGCAAGCAGCTTGTGAATCTGTTACAATAGTGACAGGGGAGTCACGTGACAGTGTCGTAGCGTGAAAAATTGCCAGAGCAAGAGCTCTTTCCTCTGCCCGACCACTGTCTGTAGTGCGAAGTGTGGCAGACGCCACAAGGGCGTCTGTGTCATCTGTCACGGCTAAACACATGGCTGACTTCTCTGGGTAGCGTGCTGCATCAGTGTAAAGTACTTGTAAGTCTGAGGTACCATCACCAAAGACGCGTGTCATAGCCTGAACTCGGGCACGTTGACGACCGGCGTGGCGGGAGGGATTCATATTGCGTGGAATCGGAGGCACTTTGATGAGTGCGCGGACAGTAGACGGAAGTTTATGTCGCGGTACTTGTGCGCGTTTTTTGGGAATCGGGTAGCCAAGACGAGACAGGATGGCGCAGCCCTGACGGGTCTGCCTGAGCCGTTAGAGCTGACTGTTGTGCTGGGCCTCGATGAGTTCGGTTACGGTGTTGTGCACTCTTAATTGATGGAGGCGTTGTGTAGATGCGTGTGAAGGCAAGCCAAGAGCCGCCTTCACAGCTGTCCGTAGAAGGATGTCCATCTTTTTTATTTGAGCTAACGTGAGAGTGTGAAAAGGAAGATGATAGGTGAGCCGACTAACTATGAGTGCTGTCAGATCCAATTCCTGGTGAAAACCACAACGGAGGCGACGGGCACGTTGAACGAAGCTGCACACGTGTTGTGCGGGCCGCTTCGTTCACTAAAACGATCACACCTTATCACCCTCGGGCTAACGCGGTAGCGAACTCACCAGCAGCTCGAAACAGACGACAGCCGCGATCGCACTGTCACAGCCGCTGCAAGGGCGCTATCACAGAGCGATGCATTATGCCTTACGCTATACAATTCTTATCGTCCAACAACACTCGCTGCAGGCTGATCGCGTTGATATTACTAGGATAAATTGTCACTATTACTAAGCGCGAAAAGCACAAACAGCATTGACATCGGAAAAAAGGCGTCATTCCGCGATTGCTCCCTTGTGCGAACGGCTGAGAAGATCTTTCCAAATCTGCGCCTGTTGCCGCTGGAGGTGCCTTCATGAGTTACGTCTGCACGTAGCCTTCTGAAACCTGAACGGTGACCAGGCGAACGATGGGAGCAGAGAAGCAAAGTGCCGAGACAGGGAGCAGGCGAGAATTTTGTTGAAAAATAAATGGATGCAAAAAACAGTGAACCTCAGCTCACAGAACAAGAAACGGTCAGCAACATGTGGGTCGCATTCAAGCCTTGCTTTTCATTTAAAGACAGCAACCCAGTTGAAAAACCCACCAGAGTGTGTTTTGGAGTATTTTGGCGTGTTTTAGTGTTAACACCAGACTGTGCCGATGTATTCTGGTGGCAGCATCGGCCTATAGTGCGTTATTTCCTAGTGGGTACACCAGCCCTGTTTGGCGCGTTCTGGTGTGTTCACCCACAGGTACTCCCTCATACAAAAGCCTGTAAAAGCTTCTATCTACATCTTCAACCTCATGTGATCAAGTGTAAAGTCCCCTGAAAGGACCTTCTAGATGAAGAAGTCACAGTAGCTTGTATTGTCTAAGTAAATAACACAATAAATGACACAAGGAATCGTGGATGTGTCGTTAATCTTGAAAGAAAATTGAACAAGAATATTTGCTTTTTATTTGATGAATAACGTTGCAAAGGTGCTTTGTGGGATATAAAATGGACTGTAGCGGCTCCTGAATGAGATCAGCCTCTGTGGCTCACATATGGGAACGTAAGCACACGCCTACTCGCGATTTTAGTCCTCAAGCGCTACTCGGTAACTAAAACTAAGAATCTCTACCACCGTGCACAGCCAGCGGTTGCCAGCTCTGTGTTTTTCGGCATGATTTGGCATGTAGAGGAAAAAAAAAGGATAAGACGTTAAGAGAACAAAGAGCACTGTGTTGTCCTTTTTGACTTATATTTTGAAGTTCTTGCCAAATATGCTCCGTCACAAATACCCAGGCAACAAACATTTTTTTAGCTTATTTATACTTTGATGTAATGTTTATTCTGTGTGTGCACAATTTTTCCAGCATTTCTATACTGTGAATTATTGCGCAGCAATGAAAGACGATGTGTTTTCTCTTCTCAACGCGTTCACCTTTTCTTTCCCCAAATCATTGAGCTTTGAGCGATGTCCGCTTAGTAAATATCACATAATGTAATTTCGAAAGGAACGCCCCGGTGGAATCAAAGAGTGGCGGTTATGTTCCTTCATGCGAAAGAGCAGCTGATAATTTCATTCGGTGAGATTGCTTTCACTTACTCGTGAAGGGAATAAATAATAAGAAACCAAAATTCCACCGGATACTGTCTCTGGATAACGGTCAACGTTACTTCTATTAGCGTTGAAGTAACGTTAACGACGCACCGCCCAAGCGCATCACCAAACGCCTGCCGCAGCCACTCGCCTCCCTCGTGATCACCCCTTCCAGCTTAGAGCATATGCTAGAGCCCCCGCTTAGGTCACAGTATGTATAAACGATGGCCTCGCCTCACACGTCCGCCATGTTTTGGCCCACACTGCAGTTTGTTTAAACATGCACTACTTTTGATTTTGCGCTTTATGTGTTAATTAATAAAAATATCTAATTTTTTACGTGTCAAATCCAGGATATGAGTATGAGTTTCAGAGATTTCGACTACCTGGGGTTCTTTAACGTGCACCTAAATTAAAGTACACCGGCCTCAACCAAATTAGCCTCCTTCGAAACACGACCGTCGCGGGCGTGATTCAATCCCGTGACCTGTGGGTCAGCAGCCCTGCACCACCGTGGCGGCAAAAAAAGATGAGAAAAACGTTGATAATCACATGACAGTAAATTTCAATAACTGTTTTCACAGTTCATTACCACTGATGTTTTCTAAACTTAAGCTCCGATATATGACGTATGATATACAAAACAAAAACAACTTGAACGATCACTTCCTTTTAATATATATATATATATATATATATATATATATATATATATATATATATATATATATATATATATATATATATATATATATAAGGGAAACAACTATAATGCCAAGGAAAGTATAGGGAAGTTATTAGGCCAACTTTAATGTAAATGTGAAGAAAGAAAAGTGGGTGAAAAGATAACTTTCCGGATCGCTGCTTCGGCCTTCATCGTCAGTCGATCGGCTTGAAGCGCCGCACTTATTGAGCACGTTGCGATATTTTTCTCTTTTTTTTTCTAGCCTTCAGCGCGCTATAAGATGCATTTCTTAGTCGAAGCCACGTGCTTATTCGAGCGCTGATCTTGGTCAAGCTGCACAGCCCGGTGGCACATTAACAATGCAGTCTGACATAGACGGCGGCGGATAATCGAAACCCTGAGCTTGTTTAACGTACTTCTTCCTTTGTGTGCCGTCCTGCCACACAGTTTGACCCAGATAAACGCCAATGAACCAGTCCAGCGCTTCGTGTAAACGTATACTTTTAATTGAGTGAAGCTTTGGCGTTTTTGTTATATATATGGTGCAGTGGCCGGCGCTCATCTCGTATGGCAGGTAGATTTTGCCCGCGCGTTCCCGTAATATATTTGCTATGCGCCCCTGCACGACAGTTTATTTCTCAATATAATATTCGCTGCAAATTCAAACGTAAGCTTTTTATTAGCACGGAATGTACGAGTACTTGTGATAAAATGTCTTCGCACACTCTGGCTTCAACATTCGGTACCGAAACCTACCTGTCCCTGTGGCTCTTTTCACAGCCATGGCCCACCTCATTTTTATTTCTTCATTCCATGGAAATCAATACCTGCGTTTGCCTCTCGCGCTCACATTGGAGCAGCCAACGGCTGAACAGACAACCGTGGTTTATAAGGATGAAGATAAACGGGCGACGGCGTGCGCGAATCGCGCATAATGTGAGCCTTGCGGCGGAGCGCTTCGCCATCGTCTACTCTTCTCGAACCGGAAGCCATCTGCAGACGGTGCACAACGCAATCCCTCGCTCTTTTACTGGTCACCTATTCCGGACGCTCGATCCAGTGCCTACATATGCGGGGTGCTGGCGAATGGTTGTCTAGCGCCAGCAGTCGGTTTTTTACTAGCAGACACTGCCGGAGTCAGCCTTGCGAGGTGAGAGAGGGGGAGAGGAGCGATAGTTAGCACGAGACGCGAGCATGCGCAGTTTGGGTGTTGACGGCGCTACCGACGCCGGATCCGTGACCTCGTGCGCCTAAGAAATGCTCCGCATTTGAAAAAAAAAAAGTTCTCCCATAAACTCACGCCTTTGGTCCAGGTAACCCGCGGGGCCGGCGTTCCGACGAAGACGACGGCGAGGTGAACGTGGCCGCCGACGACTGCGACGACGCTCTGGGGGCCGCGCACGATCTTGGCCGGCAGCGGCTCGGCACCATTGCAGGCCAACCTGCGAGCGCAAAGCTCTCCGAGAATAAACGGCTTGAAGCCAGGCCCGCTTCAGTGTTCGTTGCCTGATTAAAGCAGTGCCTGAATAGCAGCAAGGGAGGTTGTCGTCGTTGTCTAGGTGTAAACAACGAGCAGGTTGGTGTTGTTGTTTCTTCTTACGCGGTCAATGAGACATAAAAATAATCGCCTCGCTGTAAACGACCGACAGAAAATCGAGTGGTGGTGAGAAAAAACACTACAACAGTTTTCACTTAAGGTAACCATGGGTAGCACGCGAAACATCACATGGGTTCGTCACGAGCACCTTGCCCGATGTTAAAGCGTCCTCGCAAGTGGAGCGCACCATGAATTCACTGTGTTTTCTGTTGCTGTTACTCTATCGAACTCTTGTTGGAACATGCCACGCGGGTTCATCGCCACGCCACGCGAGAGGGAGCACGTGGGTTCGTCGCGCGTCTGCAGAATCTCATTCCCTCATGCGTTCACGTGATTACTGAGAGAGCGTAAGGGGGAGAAGTCACAGCATCTCACACTGCCACCTACGCAGGCCCGCACGTGCTAACGTTAACGTGTTCGGGCGTGCGTTTCCACAGGACAGAGAGGGTGGGAGCGTATGAGAGGAAATGAAGAGGGAGGGGGGACACGCATGTGCTGTAGGGGTGTGAACGCCACGGGAAGGAAGAGAGATGGAGCGCAGGAGAAGAGAGAGAAGGGCAGGAGACATGCATGCGAAGCATATGCGAAGTTAGAATGGTCACGCCACACACCGGATCAGACTCCGCGATTAGCTGCATCGCATCTAAAAACAAGAACAAAAGAAGGCTAAATGAACTAGATTAGAATACAAAAAAAGCGATCATAAGGAATATATGAGAGGCAATAAAACTTGCGTTATTTCATCCTATCGCGCATGTTGACTACAGAGGGTTGGCGAAGTATCGTGTCGCATTGCCTGAAAAAATATTATCCTACATAAAAAAAAACCAATGAGTAAAACAAAGCAATACGCTACACGTGTAATATTTAAATTGCAATATCGAGTAAAATCTCAGCGCTTGCATCGCATGATTACACATTCGCTAAATGCAACTCAGTTGTTATCAGCCCGCGCCGTGTGTGCTTAGCGGCCCCGACATTGTGTTTCTAAGCACGAGGTCATGGGTCCGACCCACAGTGACATCTGCTGAACTTCAATAGGAGCGAAATGCTATAAATGCTTCTGTACCTAGGTTTAGGTGGGTGTTAAAGAGCCCAGGCGGCGCAAATTAATACGGAGTCTGCCGCCACGGGCGGGACCCATAATGACACCATAATTGTAAGACATCAAAATATAATTTCTTGATTTCTGATTTATCAGTACAAAATTTTTCAGTAGCTGTTTTCTTTTCTTTTTTTCACTCTGAAGAAAAAATACAAGGCAAAAGTTCACTAGTGTGGAAGGGCACAGCGTGGGATAAATGATCGGACCTTAGTGAAACGGTCAGTATTTAACAGCTTTTACTCAGATGAGGTGATTACAAAACTGCTGGATTGGGCACTGAATCAGTGTGGCACTATAAGACTCTATGCAGCCTCAATTTTTGAAAAAATCTCATTGGTTGTGGTCAAGGAAATGCACTAGGGACTTAACGTATACACTCTGTTACAATCACCTGTGGTATACCCACCTCGTGAAGTCCTCGTCTGTACCGAGATCAACCTCATGCTCCGCACTTTCCAGCAGAGCTTTAGTATGTTGAGCATCTTCTTTAGAAAGAAAACGTTGGCCTTTTTTAATCTGATGCAATGATTCTGACGTATGCAGGTATGCTACGGAATTAGGTTGATGGCACTCTTGAGTGGCGACAACCTTCGACGGCTTTCCGGACGGCACCATCGCCCGATTGGACGCTTTTGTGGCAGCAGGAGGCGCTTCGCCGATGGGCTCAAGCCCGCCGTCAATATGGCGACCGTTGAAGGGGTCCAGACAGTCAGTATCACCGAAACGGGGTGCGGTCGCCGCGGACATAGTGGACTGGAGGAAGGTTGCCGAGCTGTCTTGGCCCTCTGAGCAGCAGCTTTGGAATTCTTCGCCGTCATCGCACTTCAAGGCCGCGACGATCGGTTCTCGAGTCGGAGACGGCAGCAGGCGACACGACGACACCCGCTGGAAACCATGCGCCGACGGGTATGCAATTTCGCCAAGACCCGGATGGTTGTCTTCGCCGGGTTCGGCACAAGTTCCCTGGGTGACCGCCAGTGACGCCGACACCACGGAACAGATGGGAGAATCAGCTGGCTTGTAAAGAGGACACGCAGATGATGAATGAAGAGAGGACACGTCCGTGGACCTGTATTAAAAGGAGTGAGGAAGCGTGCAATCGTTACTGTTCATGAATATATTCCCAGGTTGAGCACACTGCATCGAGTCTATACCTCGGAAAGGCTTCACGAGGCAAGGTTTTCAGTGATTTGATGGAGTTATTGCTATTCGCATCATGCAACTTGGGCCCGGGCGATAAACGTCAGTCAGGTTACTGCGCCGAAGACATCTGCGCAAATAGACAGGCAGCAACCGACGATAAAGCAACCTAAGCGCTCTGAAGGGGGGATTAATTTTTTCCCCTTTTTCGGAAGCCTATACACGCGCGTTTCTCTCAAAAAGTGCGTCATCGCTTCACATGCTGGATAATTTCATTTTAAAAAAAGTTCTGCAAGAGATATCTCGCTTGCACTATTTTACCTTTTCAGGCGGGATATGGCAAGTGCTGGGCATTATTTGGGTCAAACTTCGAGGAGCTCATTTTGTAAATTAACACCACGTAGCAAAAAGCTATTAATAAATAAGTATGGGGTGCATATTATAATAGAACTGCCGGAATCAATCCGCATAATATTTAATCCGTAGCAACGACCCATGTCCGTATATATGCCCCCCTAATTCGTTCAATAGTTCCTTAGTTTAAGCCTCGGCCACAGCAGTCGAGGTAAGATAAACTCTGGTTCAGACCTCGAGTGCGCCATAGAAGTGCGGGATCAGGCCTTTTAATGCCGCGTGCTTGAAACGATAGTCTCTAGGATTTTAAATGAAGGCCCCTTATTCCACACCACAATTTGCCTATAGTATCTTTAAAACAAAAAATTAAACGCGTCCTTTCTCGCATCGCAGAATTATTGTTGATAATACACACACATGGTTTTTTTTTGTTTCGAAGCCTTGTAACCCGAGTAAAAGTTATCTGCCTCTTTTTGTACACTAACTATACTTGCCGCGAAAAATTAACAAGACTTACAGAACTGCCGTAGGACAATTCTTCAAATAATGTCGAGCTATTTTGAACAATTGGCAACCTTAACACTGAAAAGCGAATGAACTTGTGATGAGAAAAAGTTGCGGTGACATAAGCTTCAAACTTATGAATATACAATTGTATCTTGGGACGTTGCGAACAACTCTCCTCATGACTGTCATTCACACAAACACGAAAAAGTGACATGAAAAAAAAAGCGATGGAAACAAAGAAACAAGCATATTCCACGGAAAATAGGCCCATAGATTAAAAGTGCAGTAATCATATTTGATGAGCTCTAGTTTATTCTTGAACATATGTTAACACAGCGCACGACTACGCGGACACAAGAGAAGAGACAAACCGTAATGCTGACTCGCAACTAAATTTTATTAGAAAAACATGAACGAAAAAATCGGCAGATTCCACGTACAGTGGGAATCGATTATATGCGAAGCATGAATGAAAAACGTTGATATGTCACTTTGAAATGAGCACTACGTTACGACGTGAACGTAAATTATGCCGTACATGACTTCCATGCCATGGTTAACATGTTTGGACAAATCATTTACCTTCATGGTCTATTCACGTCACACGATACTAAATTTGGTGCATGTGGAGGTAGTGAAACAGCCGCGAGTGCACCATGAGCGTGGAATGTAGACATGTTCTTACATGACACGCATGTCATGATTTACACGTTAGAGTCCGTCACTTATGTTCACTATGCAGTCATGTCATACAATGCCAGCTTTGCAATATGGCATGTGAACGAAACTACCGCAAGAGGAGCAAAACCATGAAATGTAAATCATAACATTCGTTGTCATGATTTTCATGTCATGACTAGTATGTTATGCTCTTCATAATGTCATGTTATGCCATACCAACTTTGTTATCGATACCACTATAGAAATGGCCAGGAGAGATAAAAGTCATAGGCAGATAGATAGATAGATAGATAGATAGATAGATAGATAGATAGATAGATAGATAGATAGACACGCTTAAACTCACCGAAGTTCGCTAAGAAATGATGCTTCGCATTAAAAAAAAAAACACTTCGACCTTCACAACCATGTGACCACACCATGGCAAGAAAAAGCAGATCAGCTGACATTTTAAATAATGAAAAAAAAAACTTGATACATCCCATGTGTACTCTCTAACAGCATAAAGTTAAGATATTGTGCTATCTAGGAACCTAAGCTCGCTATTATGTAGGGCTATAAAAGGCATGCTACTGCATTGTTCGCTTCTTTTTTGATAATATATGCTTCAATTATTTCTCGTGTGGTTTGATCTGTGTGTGTGTCGATATAATTTTTGTTTCACGAAAGATAGGTGTAAGATAGGTGATAGGTTAACAATTGTTTGCTTTGCAAACGATTGTTATCGATAGTGCTCCCACGTGAATTAAACAGCTACCGCTTTTGACGTGGCGTTTGATCGGAACAGCAGTTCACGGAAATCGGAATATATCGCCCCATAATTCCTGGTGACTAGTTGTTTAGAATAAATAATAATGGAATTCGAGTACACTAACAGCTCAGCATTTCCTGGAACGTTTTCTGTGTGGTCATAAAATTTTGTTCAAGATTATGCATTCATTAAAATATTTTAAGGTAAATTAATCTAACGGCTATCTTTAGTTAAAAGCTCAACTTTATTATATCATCTGAATAATTTGCATGAAAACCGCGATATTTTTAGTGAGAGAGGGAGAAGTGAACGTTTATTTTTGAAACAGTGCCCCGAGCAATGTTAGGTGTCACCTTGAGGTGGGAGGGTGACAGAGGGTCTAGGAACCCTCTGACTTCTACTGCCCTCTTTGCTCTGGCGACTAGTTGTTGTTGGCCTTCCAGGTCCTCGAGGGCGAGCTTCGCCTCCCACGTTCCGGTTAGGTCTTCGTTCGTCCGTCCCGCTTCATTATCAGTCATGTGTTGTTGCAGGTTACGTCTGGCAATACACTGGTATGCAAGAAGCAAGTGCGCCATGGTGTCTGGTACGTTGCAAAGCGGGCACATAGGGCTATATCTCGTTGGGTAGAGACGGTGTATTAGGGCCCCATGTGTGTATGTGTTACTTTGCAGGCGTCTCAGTATCACGCTTTCCTCTTTTGTCAGTTTTGGGTGTGGTGGAGGGTATACTCGTCGCTCCAGCCTGTAATCCCGGAGTAACGATGAGTAGGTGTATTGAACAACTTCCGTCTCTTCAACGATGGGTCGAATGTCCTGTGGGCAGGGGACAGCCCGGCTGACATGCTCGCGGGCAGCGGCGTGGGCCGCTTCATTTCCCTGCAGACCCTCGTGTCCTGGCACCCTTAATACACAAGTGAAGGGGAGTGGAGTGCTTCGTCGATTGAGAATATTGATGGAATTGGCTGAGATACGGCCCTTAGCGAAATTCCTGCAGGCGGCTTGTGAGTCGGTGAAAACCACCACGGCGACTGTACATGTTGTGGTTGCCAAAGCGATTGCCGATTGTTCTGCGGCGTCTGAATTGAGTGCGTTGACCGTGGCCGACGCTCATTCTCGGCCTTGAGAATCTACGACGCTGACAGTGTAGTGAATCTGACAAAATTTATTTTATGTGTAATTCGTCGGGACACATATTCGAACCCCGGAGTGTATATACGCCAAGTTGTAATGAAAACAGAATCATCAGCGTGAAGCTTTTTAGCACCGATTTCTTCGCGTAAGCGGTTAGAACAACGGATGCCTTGGCGCGATGCGCCGCTATTTTCAAAGTGACCTCCTGTTCAGACGGGGATTTTCGCAATGGATTAGTGGGAATTTCTGCAGCTCACTTAACTTTAGCAGTGTAAACAGCCGCTTTCCACCTAGGTAAACTTGCATCGCCACAATGAGGAGTTATGACCACCGCATCGCGGCACACAGCGGGCGCGGAAAAAGGCAATACGCCGCGGAGCAAGCGAGACCTTGCCGTGACGTCACTTCGCCCCGACTGCCGCGCCGCCAGTGTTCGTTCTCGGGGCTGATAGCTGACAGGATGGTGAGTAAACTTTAGCGCCGCTGTTTAGGTTTTTCGAATATTGAGATCCTTTAAGGTAAGAATTCGGGAGAGACACGAGTTGTATGTCTCTGCGGCGGCAATGATTTTCTGCTTCGGCGGCACTAACGGCGGGATTCCCCCGCTGTGGTGCTCAGCCAAAGCTTTGGCGGCACGGACCTCTGGATACCGTGGCCACAGACTTACAGCTCTATGTATACCTGTAACGGAGCCATGAGTGTAAATGTAAGGGCGGTTAAAACTAATAATAGCAAATTATGTCCGGTCCAGCTGGTACAGGGGGGTTGTTTCCCTTGCTCTTGAAACGCGGCACTGTCGTTACCAGTGTCTAGGGTGGGAGCTGCCAAGGACTCTCCGAAAGCGAGGAAGCAAGCGCTGCGAGTGTATTAAAGACGATAGTCTTTCTTGGGGACTTTCGACGCAAAAATTTTGGTCTGTCTGTCTGTCTGTGAATTTGTTTGTCAACTCTTGACAGCACCGGGTATTCGAAACGGCCGATCCCATCCGCAGCGCCCACCTATGTTGCTCGCGATTCAACGTTCATACTTGTGCGATTGTCGATTAAAAAGCAGTTATTGCTCACGTCTGGTGCACCATAAGAACACGTACATATTCTGCATGTTCGCCTCTCATTAGAAAAGGCATACATAAGTAATTCTAAGGACCGTAGCGCTTATCACGCTGCGCTGATCATGCAAGGCTTGCACGGAAAGGTGAGTGTTTCCAACGCTTTGCTAAAACGAGACGGTGGAAGCACCTACCCGTCGCCTTTCGTTCTAACACCTTATCACCTCTGAGACGGGCGCGCACACACGTCTCAGAGCCACGCGCTTTGCTTTTGAAAAGAACTGCCAGGTGGCGCTCATGTCTCACGTGTGACGTGACTTGATGCGCTCGTTCGCCTACGCTGCACACTCGAGGCACTCTAACGCAGCGCCTAGAGAATACCATTCACCGATTTTCTTGAGCAGAACATCAAATAAATGTTTTGTTCACTCTCTCCACACGCAAGACTATCGTCTTTCGACGACATTAGCAGAATAAATGCAGATACGGGGCCAATATTTTTTCCTGTCGTCTTAGTGAATTGTTCTGGAAAACATTGAAGTCCTTCTGGAAATTGGACTGCAACACAACATCCACTCGCAATACCACCGGCTAGAGATAGCAGTAATAATGCTTAATTAGTGCGCCATGCGCGTACGTTACCACAAGTTCCCAATGCAAAGAATTTCTTTGCGTACTGCAGGTACTTTTCATCTATCTATCTATCTATCTATCTATCTATCTATCTATCTATCTATCTATCTATCTATCTATCTATCTATCTATCTATCTATCTATCTATCTATCTATCTATCTATCTATCTATCTATCTATCTATCTATCTATCTATCTATCTATCTATCTATCTATCTATCTATCTATCTATCTATCTATCTATCTATCTATCTATCTATCTATCTATCTATCTATCTATCTATCTATCTATCTATCTATCTATCTATCTATCTATCTATCTATCTATCTATCTATCTATCTATCTATCTATCTATCTATCTATCTATGTGAGAGGGCAAGATGGTTTGACGAATATGACTCGGTGGTTATGACATGAACAATGTGACAATACCGTCGCGTACGTCGTGAAGCTCTTTCCACCAAAAACGGGTGGCCCATAGCTTTATACCTCGGGTGGGTATGCGCCACAGGTATGCGGGTATGTGCCCCAGGTGATTGACAGTATATCTATGCCGGAATGGCAATAACAGACTCATAATTTTAACACTTTCGTTAACAAAAAAGGTGACATCGGCCGCGGTGACCCGCTGAATGGGAAGAATAAACGTTAGGCTCCCAGCAGAAATTGAACCTGCCTTTTGCGTCGAAAGCAAGTATTCCATGATAAAGCAACGCCAGGTTCCGGGATTGCTTGCTCGTGAAACGTGAATTGTGGTTCTGGCTATCTAGTTTTATAAACATTACAAATGTACTCCCATGATAGAGACTTCACGTCAGGTTTACGCCAATCGGGGTTAAGCGCCATCTATTGAACTGAAGTTGATTAATGTAGGAGCCGTCGCGAGCACAAGCGCTACGCATATGAGCATACCGCTTCTGCTGCCGCGAATACGCGAATACCCATGTTGTTGTTGGCATCATTACTTAACTCTAAACAACGGGTTAAATCAAACGTATGAGGTTGTTCAAAATATGCCTGTGCACTCATTTGTACATATATTTAGCGTCACACCGTAACCTTTCGCTCAACGAAAAACTTGTAACAAAGTCACCTTCTATCCGCATGCATCGCATAACATTGATTCCCAGGTACGTGGAATCTGCCGAATTTTATTGCGTGCTATTTTGCAATTACACATTTACTCGCCCAACTTTTACCATAATAAATTAAGGCACCATACTACATATTTCTAAAGTGGATTCATTCGTACGTTTCTTAAGCTTACTACTTTTTTTCGTAACTGCGTACAAAAAGCGAGTGCTAGTCGTGGGAGTTGAGTTTACGTTTCCATCCGGCATATACCCCAGCACTGTTACCGACGCGCTATAAGTATTCTGACTGTTGAAAGAACAAAAAAAAAAAAAAAAACCCTGGCGCAATGGCTGAGGGTCTGCCGTGCCGGAAAATCCGCTGTCACGCCCTTAACGTATGTGCTGCAGCCGTGTTGTGCGCGATGTATACAACCAGAACCAGTTGAAGAGCCACGAGGTAAGAGGGTGGAACAGAGATTTACGGCAGCTCATTAGACGCGAAATAGTTTCTGTCTGCCTGTCTGAATGTCAGCCCCTTGTTTCGCGACGCTTGCTTGAGTGAAAAACACTGTAAATTCACGCTCAAGTGTCGATCATTTGTCAGCTTTTCCGCAGGGGGGGGGGGGGGGGGGCACGTTTCCGCAACTGCTAGTCGACCCAAATTGTGTAAGAAAAGTGAATAGAGGAACGACTGGCAATCGTGCATCGATTGGAGACAGAAAAGCAGCGCGGAAATGAGTAAACACGCGCTGGTGCTGTTGGTACGCGTGCACTTTACTCACTAATTAGCGCTTAGACTCATGTGCCAAATACTGGCGCCAAATCAATAAGCCGCCCACTTTTGAATGCGCCGGGAATGAGCTGCAAGGTACATTACGAGCTGAAGGATAACGTTGCCTATGGCTGGTGGAAATAGCTCGGAGATTCTGTCCGATAACCGCCATTGCAGAGTGGGCAGATCACCAGCTTGACAAATCGGTATAGAATGCCAACTTCATGTGGCCATTTCATGTGGACTGAGAGATGAAGCGAAAGGTTTCCCTGGTAGCGTGGGCCACACGCGTACGGTTTTGTCATGTGTGCAGCGTCACGTGGAATGAGCTATATAATGCGTTGTAAGGGTACGCAATAAACAAGAGTTGGAAGTTAGCGCTCACACTGTCGTCTATTTTTTCTCCTTCTTGACATGCATAGCATCTTTTCTTCACACTCAAACTGAGCTGCGTTAAAGCAATATCTTCTTATCATGCACCAACTAACCCAGTCAGCAGTACACAAGTACGCAACCCTCAGTAGGTTGGTTATCAGACACGTAGTACACTGACAAGCCACACGGTTCACACAGTTCTCGTTTCATACTGGGCGATTATTTAAGCCAACATTTTGCATGAAGAAAGCGCAACGGTTCGCAAATTTAAAGAATGCCGAGTTTAAAACTAGTGCAGTGATGGATGCCGCCCTTCAAGTTCGTACGTCATAATCGACTTGTACGGATAATCTCCGCAGTAGGTTTCGTACTCACCAACCACCTTGGGAAGAGAGTGCAGCACACCACGACTCTAGCGCCGCCCCTCTGCAGTCGGAGCCCGCCGGCGTAGACGCCGGCCAGGGTGGTGTGTTCGCCAGTACCGTGCGGGCGGCGATTCGCTACCCTTCGGGATTCTTCGGTCAGCTGCTCGAATTCTCTCTCAGCAGCCCAGATGGAGCACGGCGCAAGTCCTTGCGCACAGCGTCCTAGAAGTGCGTCTTCTAACCGTCATCACTGACACTAGTTCCTGCATGCGTGGAGAGAGAAGTGATAGACGGCACGTTAATTCATCGAATTAGTAGCCATTTATTTCCCAAAGAAATTCGACAGCATTACCCGTCACGTCCTGACCTCCAATTCTGCATGAAGCTTAAGTGTTTCAGGCACCACCGTTAAATTGCGGCATTTGTACTTAGCCTATATGTGTTAATTGTTGAAGATTACATGCCAAAACCATGATATGATATGAAAGAAGCCGTAGTGCAGGGCTCCGAAAATTTATACCACCAGCGGTTGCTTTAATTGCACCTAAATCAATGCAAACGGGAGTCTATAGCATTTGCAAACGGGAGTCTATAGCACTGAAATGCAGTCGCCGCGACCGACATTCAATTCCGCGATCTTCGGGTAGGTGGTCGAGTGTCACAACCACTGGACCATTGTGACGGGTCTTGTATAGAGAAAAAGTAACTTTTATACCTCTATGCTAGCAAAAAAAAGGCATATCTGGCGCTCTGTTACATGGCCCATCGCTTTATATCGTCTACACTCATAGCTATTTCAAATTGAAATATTTCAATTAAATTGAAACACATCCATGACCTTCACTCGCACCGCTACACCAATAGTCATATCTGAGGTGCTAGGAGCCTATCAGAGTAAGGAACCATACGGAATACCATGTCCCTCGTACTAAGGGAACGGCAAACTAAAGATGTGTAGCTGAAGTTTGCGCCGACAAATCTGGATAGTCTAACGAAAGATTCGATTGCAGGCTACAGCGTCTTCTGAATGAAATGTGCATAGGTGCGAAATATGGTTTGCCCAGAGGCTCATATATAACAGGACCGAAAACTATGACAGGCATGTAATCTGAGAAGAATTTTTTTTTCATCTTAAACGATATGTAGTATGAGTTGTAAGATGCGTCATAGCTGAAAAAAGTTGTTGCGGTTTTCTCGAAGGCCTGCAACGCTTTTATATATCCAAGTCTGCAAAATCTGTAGAGCTCAGTTGATTAGACTCACTCCTGAAATACATTTTGAGCTTTGCACTCTCTCCGACTTACACTCACCAATAATTTCCCAAGCCAGACTCATTCGGACTCACACTCATGAAACTTTTCTTCAAACGAGCTCACTGGGACTCAACCTCACCAAACTGATAGTAACTAAAACTCACTCAGACTCAGACTCACTGCTCGACTCAGACTCACTACTGAGTGAGTACGAGTGAATTGACTCATGAGTCAGTTAGCCTGGAATCAGCTTTTGGACCAAAGTGTCAATGCTCTTTAACACCAATATCCAACATAATCTGTGCTCTTCTTGGCGCCGTTTGATGTAGTGCCTCCGAATACGAGTAATGAGTGCTCGCAAACCAGTTCGATCATTTTTTTGGAAGAGGCAATTATATAACGTACTTATCTAGAACATTCCAGAAGAGTTGCGGGGGCTGAGCAATTCATGCCTCTGATGAATAAAAATTGAAATGATATATGAACGACACTGCTTTAAAATACCTGTCAAGTGACGCGAGGCTAAACGTTAATTCAGGCAAGGCTGAAAGCGCTAGTGACGAATGATAAGATGTGTGCTGAACAGTATGTATCCAGCGTTATTCACGTTTGAAAAAGAAGGAAAAATAAAAAGGGCTCGCCCATTCTCTCTCTCTCTCTCTCCTTTATATATATATATATATATATATATATATATATATATATATATATATATATATATATATATATATATATATATATATATATATATATATGGTCCATTTCGTATCAAGTGTGCCCAGTCAGTTTACGACCACCCCACTGATCATGCTGAAAGCGTGAAAGTGAGAAGTATACTCAGCGTTATATTTTGCAAAAGTTGTGTTGCATAGAAGGCGCTTCAAACTTTGGACACCCAAGTCGACCTGTGCCAGGCTAGATAGACAATTTTTAAATTATTATTGCTTTGAGTAATTAATGCGAAATAACTTTTTTCATTGTTCTCAAGAACCTACTTTTTCACGACTATGATAATTTACAGATTTTTATTATTTACTTTTTTATTATTTATTACTATTTATTTTATTTACTTTCTTTTTCGCTTTGGCAGGAAATTGCAGTACGCTGCATGTTTAAAATTTGTCTATAAAAAGCACACATTTTTTAGACACCAATATAATTTAGAATAGTAGAGTTTATGTCAAGGCAGAAAGAAAAATCCCAACTGAACAACACCAAGGTAGCAGGTAGCCTGCCTTTGTCTCAGCTTCCCTTTGATGGTCCAAAAGGAAAGATACTGTTTCATTGCATACAGCAGTATTACTTAAAACCGTAACAAGCAGTTGTATGAAATACATTATTCGCTGCGGAAAAGCGCCCGCTTGAACCTCCCGCTGACGTGCTATGCAGTGAAGGTGAGGCAAAGGCAGGTCTCCTACTACCTTGTGGTTGTTCAGTTGGAAAACTTTTTTGTCCCTTAAGACAAGAACTACCCTTTTGAAGCTTTGTGCTTATTTCACTTACAAGCTATACTATGCGAAAATATAAAAGCCACACTTTTACTTGAACCACTACATTTAGAAAATTAAGCCGCAATATGAGTCGAAATGCTCCTTTTCTCAACTTTGCCACACTACTTTGGCAATTTTTTGCCTCATTTGCCCCGGAAGTAGTCTAATAATTTAATATAGAAATATAGAAAGCATAAAATATAAAGATGTTATTGGTGAAAAAATTTTTGCTTTTTGTAAAAATTGGTCGACATGCAGCCTCTTGCAATTTTTCATCAAAGTGAAAAATAAAGAAAATAAAACATCAAACAATAAGATAGTATAGTCATGAAAGAACAACCCCTTGAAAATAATGAAAAATGTTTCTTATTATTTATTCTAATCAGTAATATAATATAAAGTATATATCGTGACAGTTTCACTTGGGTGCCCAAAGTTTTAAGTGCCCTCTAGGCAACACAATTTGTTTTGCGAAATATACCGCCTCAATAATTGCTTCCCATATTCCCATATACTTGTAAAAATTTTTTCAGCATGATAAAGGTGGTCGCAAATTGACCGGATACACATTATTTGGGAGGACTTAATATATATATATATATATATATATATATATATATATATATATATATATATATATATATATATATATATATATATATATATATATATATATATATATATATATATATATATATATATATATATATATATATATTACTAATAATGCGTATACGGTCAACTTCCGACCACCTTTATCATGCTGAAAAAAATTTTACTGGTATATGGGAATATGTGAAACAGTTAATGAGGCTGTATATTTCGCATTCCGCAGTGGTTTAGTGGCTAAGGTACTCGGCTGCTGACCCGCAGGTAGTAGTGGGTTCACATCCCGGCTGCGGCAGCTGCATTTCCGATGGAGGCGGACATATTGTAGGCCCATGTGCTCAGATTTGGGTGCACGTTAAAGAATTCCAGGTGGTCGAAATTTCCGGAGCCCTCCACTACGGCGTCTCTCATAATCATATGGTGGTTGTGGGGCGTTGAGCCCCTCATATCAATCAATCACTGCAGCCTCGTTCGCAGCTACATTGCTCACAAGGTTTAGAGTCATAGATTCGATAATTTGGCCAAATGCAGTTGAAAGTCCCCAGGCAATCACTAAACCAATGCTTATCGTATAGGAATAGTAACTGAATCGAAAACAAGACCAACAGGAGTCTTTCAAGTCCAACACGACACTTGCCACGAAAGCGTGTGTGTCCTTGCTCTGAGCAGGGCAATCGGGCTGTATTTTCTTCAATTGCAGCGCCCCAACTCGACAGAGAGGAACGGGTACAACAAAAAGGCTCGCCTCTAACTGCATTTTATGGAAGCAGAATGTTCGCAAGGGCTTTTCCTTGTGCGTGCGATGACACCCGTTCGCTTGTTTTATGAAATGCCCATAATTGGAGAAAAAAAAAACACGTGCAAAGTCGGGGCTACGTTCGGCAAGTAGTTAGACAGATAGGACAACCATTCGAATAACATCTTTCTGAGCCTCTTCAACGCACCGACATTATGTAATCGGTCTGTCTTGACGCAGAAATAAAGAGCAAGAAAAACAAAAGAACTAAACAAACAAATATTAATGGTTTATATAAATAAGTAAAGAAATAAAATTTGAAGAATATTACATGGCTGCAAAATCTACAGAAAGAAATTCCCCCTTACTTATGTTGGATTTAAATGAAAGGTTGTTTTACCTGTAACAATTTTTTATCACACCTAAATATGACAGTAGATGGCACTAAATGCAAAAAAAAAAGGCGGAAAAAGAACAGAGGCAACGGATGTCTTGCAGTACACGTGCAGGAGGTCTTCTATGCGCCGGAGAACGCATTGACAGTACACCGTCACAGTGTTGTGCAAGTGAGCCACTCTGGCAAATACCAGGCGTTTCCCGTTCCAGTCCGTGTGAACTCTGCCTATAGCGGGTCAGCGTCTTCTAAATATGCACAGTATACTATAGCCGGGCTCACTGCGGTGCACCGCAAGGTGCACGCACTCGGTGCTCAGCGCTTTCAGACACGTCAAAAGCTCTCTTATCCCCGTATTCGCAAACGCTCCTCGACTCAACTTTCACCCTTCACTTGACAAAGTTGAGCACTGCGCCACTGCTCGGCTGAAAATGACGCTGCGCTGCTCGAGAATCACGCCATATTATCGCTGATATGCACCGACTTGGCATGCCTAGAGAGGGCGCTTCCATCGGCTTTCTCAAGTTAAGGTGAAGCGTTGAGTGAAGGAACGTTCTAGAATACGGGGGTTAGTCTGTCATTCAGACAGCAGCCTGTTTGCCCTGCATATATGCTTCCCCACAACTAAATAAAATATGAGGTCCCTAAAGCCTTGAACAATGGCGTTGCACGTGTTTTCTTTCCTGCTGATATCTTCTTCGTTTTCTTGTCACTTTACGGCGCTGAAAGTCTGTCAGGCGCTGTGAATGTATGATTCGTGTTTACGCCCAATCCTTTTTTG